GTCTTGTCTTCGTGATGGTGCAAGAGGAGCCATTCCTCCAATTTGAACGCCGATCGAGCTGAAGTTGGCGAAGCCACATAACGCATATGTAGTTATAATCTCTGAGCGAACCTGTTAGGAAATAGGTAAAGAGGTACTGAGAAAGTGCTGTGAAGCTGGCACGTGTTACTTGGAAGAATGGGACACTATCAGATAGCACATGAGAGGGCATTAGTACAATAGTATGAATTAAGAGAGGTATTATCTGGAAAAAAATAGCATAACAGAAAAAGTTAAGAGTGAGAGAAAAAAGAGAAACTTGAAACGTAACACGAATAATGTGTATTCTTAACATACAAGTAAAACAAAACGAATATTACTATGGTAAGACTAATGTGCAAAGTCTATTAAGATTAATAACGACAAATATAAGAAAAACTACTGAGATGATTCCAAACTATATTAAGACTGATGAAAACTATGTTAAAGTAAGGATAAACTGTATCAAGACAAATGCAACTCATTAATATTAAAAAAACGAATGAAAGCTGCAATCAGGAGAATGAAAACTATACTATATTGAATGAAAGCTATATAAGAATGAGTACAAGTAATATTGTGACATGAAATGTAAGCTCAGATGGTTGCAAACTGTACCAACATATATGAAAACTACATAAAGAGTGCAAGTCACTACAAGTGAGAACTACATCACCACGAATGTAAACTCCACTTCAAAATAATCATTGACAATGTTGCTGCTGAGCAAATAAAATAAAATATGATATCAAAGTTTACACTAAATACGTGCATGGTTACGACTTAAATTAAGCTGAACGATCACCGAGTTCAGGTTGGCAAGATTACTGTGTACAAATTTAGAACATTGTTAAAAGATGCTAAAAAAAGATGTCAAAACAAGTTAAAGTTCTGGAAAATATACGTGTTAGTTACTGGATTGAAGTATGTGAATAAGTGATAGTTGCAGCCATATAAAAGTCAAATGATTAACGTCAGGGATTTAAAGTCAGTGGCTATGGTAAAACAAAAAAGAAGCATTTCTATAGTTTAAGGTTAGCATAGATGGTTATTAACATGTTTACAAGAGCCACATGCTTCGGCAAGAAACTTCAAGAGGTAAAGTTTATGCAAAGAACTCAAACATTAAAATACTGTTAGGTCTGTGTTTTAGACACTGAGATTGCCCAAATAACAGGAAATGTTATCTCATATTAGAAACAAATTATAGTTGAACCCCGTTAATCCGGTCACCAACAGGCCACAAAAATCTGGCCGTATTAACGGGGTGGCCGTACTAAAGGGGTTCTTTAAATAAGAAAATGACTGATTGAGCTTTTGTTCGGGCCAGAATAAAGTAGCCGTGGTAACGGGGTGGTCGTAAGGCGGGGTTCCACTGTACAAAACAATTTTTTTTAGATTAAATTAACAATGATTTAAGTTTGAAAGTTTGCATAATTTACATTAAAATTAAGAGGGTTTTGCCAGAAGGGTAGGTGGGGTAGTTTAAGTAGGCAATTCCAAGGGCAGCATTAGTTTAAATGAAGAAATTAGTTCAGGAATGAAATAATACCCAAATAAAATACGAAAAATCCATGAGAGCCTTTAAACGCCTTTTAGCATAACACTTAACTTGTAAGATTCGTTTATGCATACTTAACGTATTCACATTTAATATATTGATATAAACTTGTATATATTTTTTTGAAACTTAGTTGTAATTATTTCACGGCTTTTGGGAAGAACAAAAGTGCAATGTTTTGTAATTTTTTGATCAACGTCACCATGGGTAAATAAAGTTTTCTATCTGTGGATGGACAGGTAGATGTGTGGATGGGAGGGAGGATGGATAGATGGGTGCATAGGAGGGAGGATGGATGGGTGAATGGGAAGGAGGGAAAATGGATGAAAGGGTGGGTGAATGGGAGGGAGGATGGATGGGTGGGTGGATAGGAGGGAGGATGGATGGATGGATAGGAGAGAGGATGGATGGGTGAATGGGAGGGAGG